CTTCCAGATGAGAGCCATTCATCAGGGTGTTGGCATGACAACCAGAAAAGTTTAGACACCTCCCCAAACATCCCAGCTTCCTTCCATGGCCCAGTATCCATGACCTTAAAAGGCGTTACCAAAAGAGTTCTTAGCCACGAAATCTGAAGACATGAGGCTACTTCCCCATCAACCACTTAGTGACTGTGGGTATCTCTTTGTCCTTTTCTGGACCTTGATTTCCCCATCTGGTCAGTGAAGGAGATGGACTATCTCGTAGGGCCCTGAACGGGTCTAGAGCAACCTCATCCAATAAAAGTATAACGTCAGTCACACGTTTAATTTTTTAATTTCCCAGTGACCACATTCAGAAAAGTACAAAGAAAAAGGTGCAATGAATTATAATAATCTAACCCAGTGTATCTAAAATATAATCATTTCAACATGTAATCAATATGAAAATTATTAATAGGTTATTTTAGATTCTTTTCTTACTAAGTCTTCAAAAGCCAGTGTGTTTCACACTTACAGCACATCTCAATTCAGATCGACCACATTTCAAGAGCTCAACGGCCACATACAGCTCGCGGCTACCATATTGGACAGCACGGTCCAGAATCTTTTTCAATCCTTAGCCCACTTTAGAGGGACAAGACATCTTGGCTTCCTCCCTTCCTTCTGTCCTGATCCTCTGTGGCCCAATTACTCACCAAAGTCCTCGGGAGGGAGACAACCCTGTGTTTCCTCCTAACCCAAAGATTCCCTTAATTGGAAATTCAGTCTGAGCTTAAAACCCAGCCAGGCAGCCACCTCCCACACGGCACCAGCGCTGTGGGCTCACAGGAAGTATTCCTCAGACACACAAGGGATCCAAATGTCCCCTGTGCTCCCCTCCCGGTAGCACAATGTGGAGCGAACAGGGTACCACCTTCTTACTCCGGAGCCTCGATTCCCAGCTTGGGCCTAACAGCCTTCTCAGGAGCTCACATTCACATTCAAGGGCACAGGGCTCAGCAGGACGGACAAAGAGGGCAGAGAAAGCAAAGGGGCAGAGAAGGGCAGCATTTTGCCTCCAGCAGGGGAGAGCTTGGGGAAATCCCTCCTTATTCCCAAGCTTCCATTTCCTCGACTTTAAAATCAAACATGTTAGAAGATGACAATGACCGCTTTTACTGCTGGCCACTCTGTGCCAGGCATTTTATAGGCATTAGCTCATCTACTCCTCAGAACAACCCAAAGAAGAAAGAGGATCCAAGATTCAGAGTGGTGAAGCCACTTGGGCGAGGTCACACAGCTCTTCAGTAGATGAACCAGAATTCTAATTCATAATTTTCTGACTCAAGAGCCTAAGCTCTTACCTACTCTAAGCTCTGCCATGTCCCAGGGTGGCCCGTTGTAACTATATACACTTGGCAAAATAATTTTAAATGTTCCCTTTGAAAGAAAGGACAAATCTCCTTACAGAAGAATTCCAAATATGTCAACACTCCCCGCCCCAAAGGTGGAGCTTAATTCCAGACCCTTCTCCATCTTGGGCATAGGCTGAAATTAACATCTGGATTCCAAAAAAAAACCAAAGTATGAAAAGGGGGAAATGGTAACTTTACAGCAGAGAAACCTGGCAGACACCACCTTAACCAAGTGATCAAGGTTAGCGTCACTGGTGACAAGTCATGCTGATCACGTGCCCCTGGTATGACGCAATGAGAAGAGCACTTTACCCGTGTGGTTTTCTTCCTCAAAACCTATAACCTCAGTCTAATTATGAGAAAAATATCAGATAACCCGAACTGAGGGACATTCTACAAAATACATGACCAGTACGCCTCAAAACTGTCAAGGTCATGAATAAGGCAGGACTGAGAAACTGTCATGAGCAGAGGACACTAGGAAGACTTGACAAGTACATGCAATATGGGATCTTGGAGGGGATCCTGGGACAGAAAAAGGACTCCAGTGGAAGAACTAGTAAAATTCAAACAAATATATTTGACAAACATATTATTGCCATGTAAGAAGTTAACATTAGGAGAAACTGGGCAGGGAATATATGGGAACCCTCTGAACTACCTTTGCAATTTTTCTATCAATCTCAAATTATTCCAACATATGAATTTTGTTTTTTTAAACGTGCCCCCTTTAACTCATACAAGTGTCCAAGTTTGGACAATTAAAAAACATGATCACCTGGACCTAAGCCTGGCTTTGCCCCCGACCAAGAAGTCTTTAAAAAATTACCCATACCATCATCATCTCAACGATACTCACTGCACGCACATTCACAACAATTTAAAGTTTACAAAGTTTAAAGATAGCAAGATGTGCTGGTTAAAGCTTTGGAATCAGAAAGCTAGGGGCTGACGCCCTGGTTCTCCCACTTGCTTGCCAGGTGGTCTTGGCATATTATATTCTTTCTCTGGGTCTCAGGTTCCACATCTGTAAAATGAATTCATTGAATGACAACCAGGACAAGTAAGGCTTATTGAGCCTTTACTAGGTGTCCAGTACTACAACGGATACTGTGATATGTCACCCAGTTTCCCCTTCAGGATTGAAAGACTTATCTCTACACCACCCCCCACCACCATGCTCAGAGTGCTGCCGGCTGTCAGCCTTGTCTAGGGATTGCCCTTGGCTGAAGAGGACCATCCAGCCCCAGGTCATGCCCCTTTTCGGAGAGTAGCCTGCATCCACTGCAGAGGATGTAAAGGTCCGGCTCACTCACCTCAACTTGGACAACCCCGAAGCTCATCTCCACTGCAGCACACCCTTGTGGTCTGCTGAGGCACTGCTGGAGACTGCACTATGGCCCACCTCACTCTGCCATAGCGCAGTCCTGCTTCCTTTCCTTCCCCACAAGTGTTGATACTGAGAGCACTCTGCAGAAACTTCCTGCACACTAATTTCCATCTCAAAGACAGTGTCCCAGAAAACTTGCCCCACAATCAGACTGAATCACTGGATCTGCACTATCTTTCTTGACCTTCAGACCAAGCCTACTGTAATAGATGACAGTAGTTGATGTTGAAGAAGAAAACCAATTTGGCCAAGAATATACAAATAAGAAACAGTGACTCCACTGATGGGGAAACTGAAGCTCATGCAGGCAAAATGATTTGCCAGGTCTCTGAGCTAAAAAATGGTAGAGCCAAGATTTGGCCCTAGGTTTGCATAATTCTAAGGACCACAGTGCCACAGCCTCTAGCCCAGGCTATTCAGAGCAACCAGCAGGATTGCTGTAGGCACCGGGACAAGCGAGTGCCTTTACCATTGTCCTGCCACATCACCGCTGTCCCCGAAGCTCACTCCACATTTGCAAAAAGGGAATTATAACAGTACCTACCTCATTAAAAACTTGTAAAGATTAAAGGAGTTAAGATGTGTAAAGACCTCAGAATGGTGACTGGCATGTACGGTGCCCTCTATAACTGGTAGGTTAAAAATAAATCACGTAAGCAGCGTAAAGTGGCTGTGAGACGTTCTGAGAAGCCAACACGCTGAGTGAGAGATGGCCTGTGACAGGAGGCTGGGCCTCATCAGCTTTCAAAGTGGATAAGACTTGACCTGAGCTCTGAAGGAGGAGTAGGAATTAAGGGAGCAATAAGAAGAAGGAAGAGAAGTCCAGGCAGAGGAACCGGAAGGAAAAAAAGCCCTCTGGCAAGAGAACTAATGAAAGATGATACGAGGCCAGCATGACTAGCACAGAGAGAAAAATCCAGGTCCGGGGCAAGAGTGGTAAAAAATGAGGCTGCATAGGAAGGTAAGAATCAGATTATAAAGGGCCACTTACTACCTGAGTGATTCGGGACAAGTCCCTTTATCTCTCAGAGCCTCATTTGGCTCATCTGTAAAATGAAAATAGAAATCGTATGAATCTTATAAGGTCCTTAAGGAGATTGAATTAGCCAATATTTGTAAACCATTTAAAATAGTGCTATGCACACAGTAGGTACTATAAATGTTTGAAGACAACATTAAAACTTTTCCTGAAGTACAATGAGAAGACATAAAGGCATCTGAATATGGATTAAAGGGTGAGTGCTGAATGGATGGGAGGGTAGATGGATGCAGGGCTGGTAGGTGGGTAGGTGGGACTAGTTAAGTAAATGGAACAGTGCATGGATTGATGGATGGAAGTATGGTTGAGTGAAGGAGAAGCTTGAATGGATGGATGATGGATAAGTGGTTGGGTGATTGGGTAGGTGAGTGTGAGCGGATACTGTTTCAGTGGATGGAAGCATGGTAGGATGGGTGGCTTGACAGATGGAAATGGTTGAGTGAATGTGCGTGGTTGATGGATGAAGGAATGGATGAGTGGTTGAAGGGCGTCTGGATGTTTGGACAGTATCTGGGTGGGTGGGTGGTTGGTTGGTTAGATGGATGATTGGATGGTTAGTTGGGTAAAGGGATGGAAAGTTGAACAGGTCGATGGGGGTAGATGAGGAAATGATTGGGTGGATGGGTGATCAGATGTTAGACACGCTGAGTGACTCAAGGTGGCTGGATAGAGGTGTTCAGTGATAGAGGGACTGTTCAGGTATGTAGTAGAGAAGTTAGATGAATGAAAGGGTTGAGAGAATGGATGGATGACTGGGTGGTTGAATGGGTAGTTGGATAGATCATTTTGGTGGAGAGATGGTTGTTCAGGTGGCTATGAGAAAGGTTGGGTGAATAGAAGGGTCAGGTGTATGGAGGAGTTGGTGAATGAGTGGATGGATGGATGGATGGATGGATGGATGGATGGATGGATGGATGGATGAATGGACGTGGATGGATGGATAAGCAGGTGACACCAGATCCTGAAATGCCAGCAATCAATCCTCTAAGGGTCATGAAGGAACCATTACAGGTGACATCAGATCCTGAAATGCCTGCAATCAATCCTCTAAGGGTCATGAAGGAACCATTGATGGTTAAAGAAGCAGAAACCAGGTTGGAGATAGGGCCTCCTAGGTGGCCCGGTCCCAGAACCTCTTCCCTGAGAGGGCTCATCCCATCCGTGCCCACCCCGGGGGTCCTACCTGGAGGCGGCGATCTCTGCCTTCTGGCGCGCTATGGCGGCGGCGCGCTGGGCGCCCTCCATACTGTGCTCCACCTTCTGGCGGACCTTGCTGCTCTTGAGTGGCAGCACGCGGCGCTTGGTGCCTTTGACCAGCACGTTGTGGCGGTATTTGCCCTCTTCGCGGTGGCCGTCGGGCAGCGTGGTGCAGCCGTAACCGTGGCGCAGGTTGTCCAGCCACTCGCCCTCATAGCGGAGGCCGCTGGAGCGCTCGCTGACGCCGAAGCCCGAGCGCTTGTCGTTCTTCCACTCGCCCATGTAGGTCTCGGTGGTGGTGGCGTCGATGTCGGCCTCGAAGGGCGCGGCGTCGTCG